CTGGGCAAGTCACTTAACCCCAATTGTCTAAAAAAAAAAGAAAAAGAAAAAGAAAAAACCCAAAAACCCAGGACAAGATTAGAAAAGAGCTTGTAATTTAGATTAGAGGTATTGTGTGAAGAAGGAAAGAATGTGTGGACTAAGGTTGGACAGATTATAGACAGCCTTAAAGGCTCAGCTGAGGAGTTTGTATTTTATCTTAGAGGGCAAGGAATAAGTGTTTATATAGCATCTGCTGTGTGCCAGGCACTGTACCAAGTGCTTTACAATTATTATCTCATTTGATTCTCAAAACAACCGTGGGAGAGAGGTGCTGTTATTATCATTTTTCAGTTGAGGAAACTGAGGCAAACAGAAGGTAAGTGCCTAGGGTCACACAGCTAGTAAGTGACTGAGGCAGGATTTGAACTCAGGTCTTCCTGACTCCAGGCCTAGCACTCTATCCATTGCAGTACCTAGTTGCCCCTGTTAGAGGCAATAAGGAACCCATTAAACCTTTTTTAAACTAGGGAATGATATGCCTAGGCCTGTGCATTAGAAAGTTTATTTTAGTATCTGTGTGAAGGATAGATCAGAGAGAGTCTGGAGGCAGGGAGTGCAGTGAGCAGCTTTCTCATACTTCAGGTGAGATGTGTTGACAGCCTGACTGGGGGGTGGCAGCACCAGTGGGTGGGATGTGAGCTAGCAATGTTGTGGAGGTGGGAAAGAGCATACTCGGCAGTAGTTTGGTTGTGTGTGTGTGGCAGAATAAAGGATAAAGAAGAATACAAATGATAGAGGTTTTGAGCTTGGAGCAGTGGTATTTCAGTAGAAATTGAGAAGTTGGGGGACTTTTGTTGAGGTGATGGGTTCACTGGGGAACTCCTTGAGTGTGTGGTCCTAGGAGGGAACCATGGCTTATTCCTTTGTTTCCTCTCAGTAGCTAATGCAGTGATCTATACATAGTGGATACTTAACAAATGTTATTAATTTAAATTTTTTTTTGAGCAGCAGGAAGTTTTACTAAAAGAAAAGATAAACCCATCCTGTAGTCTCATAGTGAACATCTATTGGCATCACTTATAGTCTCAGGTTGTGAAATCTTTGCATGTCAGGTTCTTTATTGACATGAACCATTCCTGCAAAATGAACTTTTACAGTTAAACTGAATTTTAAGGTCCCAATACTCAATGATTTTATGGGAAAGAAAAGCTCTATAAAGATGCGAGCCATGCTAATTTATGGTCTGACCAGTGAGTGATAGAGATACCTGTGGTTCTTCAGCTCAGAAGAGATCTGAGGACATTCTAATAATCACCATGTGTTTCTTTCAAAGGATAAGGAATTGTTAATTATCATCTGAAAATGGTTTATTTTCTCATAATTACAGAAATGCAAATTGAGACAACTGTGAAATACTACATTATACTCAACAATGAAATAATCAATTTCAGTCATCAATGTTGGGGTTGTTGGGGCAACAGGAATTTTATTCCATTAATTTGTTCTGTCAATTTGTCAACTAGCATTCATTAAGCACCAACTGTAGGTCAGGTGATGTGCTAGGTGCTAGAGATATAAAGACCAAAGGGAAACAGTCTTTGCCCTCGGGAACTTACATTCCACCAAGGGAATACATGTTCAGATAAATTCAAGACATACAAAATAAGTGCAGTGTGTTAAAGGGAATGGGGTGGAGAAGCACTAGGGAAATCAGGATAAAGGAAAATCAAGTAGAGATTAAGAAGGAGAATATTCTAGGTTTGGAAGAAAACTAGTGCAAAAACATGACTTCAAGAAAGATATCATGTTATATGGCCAACAGACAAATGCAGAGTGCATCATAGAGAGAAGTGATCAGCCTGGAAAGGTAGGCTGGAGCCAGATTATGAGAGGTTTTATGTGTCATACAGGGGAGTTTATATTTTAACCTAAAGGTGATAGGCAGTCACTGGACCTTCTTGAGCAGTGGAATAGCATGGTCAGTCCTGTGCTTTAGGAGTATAAATTTGGCAGTTTTGTAGAGGATATATTAGAGAGAGAAGAGTCTGGATAGAGGAGACAGATTACAAGGTTATTGAAGTATTTTAGATAAGAGGTAATGGCCTGAACTATGGTGGATATAGTATGAGTAGAAAGAAGGAGGCAGGTGCAACGAATATAGTGGAGGTAAAATTGATAAGATTTGGCAACTGATTACATTTATGGGATAAGTTAAAAGGAAGAGTTGAAGATAACTTTGAGGTTGCAACTCCTGGGACTGGAAGAATTTTGGTGTCTTCATGAATCCTTATTCTATTATTCCTCTTAGCTTTGTGTCATCTGTAAGTTTGATAGGCATGTCAATATTCGTATTCAAGTCATTCATAAAATTGTTAAATAGCACAGGGTCAACCACAGGTCACAGAGGCAAGACCCTGGAGATCTCCTTCCAAGTTGATGTTAAACTATTGACTACTCTTTGGGTCTGGCCTTCCATCCAGTTTGGAAACTACCTAATTTAATTATTGTATTGCCTCCCCTACCCCAATTTTTCTTTCTTTTTCTCATCCTGAGACCTTAATTGAATGTTTTAAGAAATTCAAGGTAAATTACAACTATGATGTTCCACTGATTTCCCAGGTAATAAACTTGTCCTCCCGCCCACAAAAAAAAAATAAGGTTAGTTTGGCTTGAACTGTCCTTGTGGAAGCCATGCTCACTCTTTATGATCACCTTTTCTCTTTCTAAATATTGATTAGTGTTGAAGCAAATAGATTGAGTCATTCAGTGTTATGTTTAGTGATCAATTTGATTAGAATTCTACTTTTATTACTTACATCAAAAAGCTGTTTGGAGAATGATTGCCTGTTAAAGACATCTCTCCATCAACCAAGTTTTCTCATTTCAGACAAGAATTCTGGGTCTGATGTGCTTTTGTAGAAATACTTCTAGAAAGTTCTAGAGATTACCTCATACTCTACAAGGTTGGTAGTGACAGTTAGTTAAATTTTAAAACTTTAGCTAAATCCACTGCATTACCGAATTTCGATTATCTGTAAATTTGAAACCTCAATTTTTTTGCTTCTATACTAGCTATCCATTTATGAATATGATCTAGAATTTTACCAAGAATTGAAGTCAGGTTCACTGGCTTATAATTTTCAGTTTCTATTCTTTTTTTTTTTTTAAGAAAATGGGATAAAAGCCTTTCTTTAAGGAATGTGATAGTAAATGTTTAACAGCCGGCTGTGTAGGAAAAAAATATTCATGACACACTTCTAAGTTTAATCTATGTTATTAACATTTTCTGCATCACTTTCTTAAGTCTAGACAGCCAACACAGTAATAAATCAAGACCTTATTTGTAGCATTTGCTCATTTCCAAGGTGAAAATATTTTTACTGACAATTGAATAATTTTAATTGTGAGTTTGAGCTGTACTCCTGCTTTGTATAACCCTGTGATACTTTCAGAGATCACTGATTCAAAAATAGTGTTTACCAGTTCTTTCAATATCTAAAGAAGAAGTTTGCCTACAATCTCATTTGGTGGTCTAGGATAGGATAGGCTGCTGCTTCTCCTTAGGTTCTTCTACCTTCTCTTCTTCTTCAAATCTTTCTGCCACAATCTCCTATTCTTCCCTTCCTTTTTTCTCCTTCAAATGGAGTCTTCCTTTAGCAGGACTCATGCAAAATTACTCTCTTCTCCATAATTATTGGAAATACGATTGTCAGTGCTTGCCTTTGTTTCTAATATTTCCTCTGAAGAATTTGAGTGGCAAAGTGCTTAGGAGTCACGATTTCATCTCCTGAGCTGTCTTTCTCATCTCTTTACCAGGTTAACACCTTAATTGCCTTTTTTTTGGGCACCTCTCAATACCTTGAAAATCACCCCCAACTTTTTCCCCCTACTTTTTACTAACGTTTTATCTACATTACCAATTTGTTTTACTTACCTTGTCTTACTTTGCCTTGATAACAGTCTTTGCCTTCTTTCTGAATCCTCACTCTTCATTTCTTCCTTCTGCTGCTGCTTCTCCTTAGGTTCTTCTACCTTCTCTTCTTCTTCAAATCTTTCTGACACAATCTCCTATTCTTCTCTTCCTTTTTTCTTCTTCAAATGGAGTCTTCCTTTAGCAGGACTCCTTCTCTACCTTCAGTTTTTGCTGGAGTCCTCTGGAACATCTCCTCCTTAAATTTAATGTCTGACCTTCTTAGTAATTCATAAGCCCAACAAATCACCTCCATAATTCATTTTTCATCTCCTTGCCCATTCTTTTGTACAACTCTTCTTTGGAAGTTGGATGTAGATTACAGTCTTGGCTTTCTTGTTACCATGGCAGAATGTCAGAGCTGGAAGGGACCTTATGATAGCTAGAGAGATCAACTAATTCAATCCTTACATTTTAGAAAGGCAGAAACTGAGATTCAGTGCAGATAAATCACTTGTCCAGCATCACGCAGGTAGGTAGTTAGGAAAGCCAAGAGTAGAACACTATTCCACTATTGTAGTTCTTCTGAAGAGGAAAAGAATCCTGTGGGAAGTCTGTACCACAGTACTGAAGCATTGAATAGCTTTTAAGAAAATCTTATTTGGTAGATAAAATTCTTGCAAGGAAAGCAGATGGAGATTCAGAAAAGCACCATTTTTTTAAAGAGAGAAATCTCTGCTCAAGGTGAATTCTTTTCTGAGGGAAGTATTAAGATCACAGATCTGGAAGGACCCTTAGACTAAGTTCGTCTGGTCCAACTCTTTTACAGATGAGGAAACTGAGGCATGGAGAGGTTAAGCTATTGGTTAAGGTCACACAAATAGGAAAGGGACCAAGTAGGGCTTGACTTTGGGTTCTGTGATGTGAAATTCTGCATGTTTTTTGTCTGTCATGCACTGCTTTCCATAATTAATTTGTGTGAAAGCTGCATGCATGTTTGAGTTTTAGGAGCACACGGCAATAGACACTTGCTCAATACTTGCTGAACTGGATTGGATTTGGTGAATGATTTGGCTTCGACCTGATGGAGGCTGTTTCTTCTCCACAGGCACGATGAAGGTGAAGAGTTCTGGCATCCAAGTGGGAGACCTTATCATCGTTGAAAAGGTTAATATAAACACGTGGCTATTGAAATTCTTCTGTCAGTGTTGGCATGCACCAAGTTTTTCTCTCAGTTAACCTGAATGTGTAATTTGTGGATTGAAAAACTAGTTGTGCATTTACTATTTGGTATTAAATCAGATTCCTTTTCCCGGACACATTTTATCTTCTACTTTATTAGGAAGTTGGGGAGCAAGGTGGGGAATTCTGCGGCATATATGTAATCACTAGTAATAACATGGTGGTAGATCCCAAAGTTTGACTTTCAATTTTATTCGTTTTATGCAGCCTAGAGCTTTCATTCATATAATTAGGTTGCTCATTTTAGTCAGCAAGCTGCTATTTAAGTAGGCAAATAGCCTTGTACAGTGGAATGAACACTGGCTCTGGATTCAGGGGACCTGCGTTCAAACCCTTCCACTGATGCTTACTACCTGTGTGACCTTGGGCAAGTCACTTAACATTCCTAGGCCTTAGTTTACTCTTTTATAAAATGAAGATTAGATTATTTCTGAGGTCCCTTTGAGCCCTAGATCTATGATCCTATGTGTAGTTTGTATGTTCAAGTTTTCTTACCTAGTATTAATAGCCCTCCACCTTTAAATAAATATGTTTTGCCATTGTTTTGTAGGCATATCTTCATGGTAAATGGGGCATAGCAAAAAGTAATTTAAACAACAGTGTTGGGAACATATTAAAAAAAACCCAATGTTTTTGAAAACATTGCTACCTTAGTGCAGCAGCATTAAAATGAACTGCAGTGTCCCTGAATAAGTTATAAAATCTTCATGTTATTGCTTTAATTTCTTTGCAATGCATTTATTAGTGTGGGGGGTCTGAGACGTGGGGGGTGGCAGGAGGGCTGGAAAGAAGTCAGCAGAATAATATTTAATCAGAGAAGGATTGTGCCTTAACTCCTTTCTAAAGAAAATGGCCATGCCCTTTTCAAAAGGATTAAAGTAGATGATACAAATGTGATTTCAGGGGAGAGTGAGATGTTTTAGACAGAAGTGCACGCCCCCCTCTCTTTAAGCTGCTTCTGTTTATAATTATACTGTATTGCCATTTCTGCTTTCCCTTCCTTCAGAAGATGACTTTTGTTAGTCCTCGATACTTTTTCTGTCTATTTATATTTTTCCCCTCAAAAAAAAAATCAAGCAAGGAAATTAGCAGAAATAAAACTAAAGTATAGGCAGAGTATTTGTAGCATTACTAATAGAGAACTCCTTGGAAGAAAGCCAATAGTAGCCTTAAGCTCTAAGCTGGTGATCCTTTGATGGGAATCACTGGAGGTAATGGTTGGATTCTCTGGAAGCCCAGGAACTCCCTTCCTGTGATCGGATTTCTATGGTGGATTAGTACAATAGCAGCAACTTGCAAGATTTTTCAGATTCAAAACAAAATAAATCCCTAAATCTCTGTTTGACAAAGAAGTAAACTTAAAAGAGGCTGTGGGCTTTAAAAAATTTTTGTTGGGGGGGGGAGGGTGGCAACGGGAGGAGGGTGGTAGTGGACAGAGCATACACATGTGTACACAATAACACTCTTTCTTTTCATAATGCAGAACCAACGGGTCCCTGCTGACATGATCTTCCTGAGGACATCAGAAAAAAATGGTAAACATCTGGGATCAATTTTGGAAATAACCATTAACCTTTCAGTGGTTATTTGGCAAAACAATAATTTGAAAATGTAACAGAAGTAGATATAATTTTGGAGTCATGGAGATGAATCAAAAACATCTTTTTGATGGGGCTAGCCTTTCCCCTCCCCCTTCCTTTTCTTTGTGGGGGTGATTTATGTGATGGTAGATTTTGATAATTAAAAAGATACAACTGGCTGGACCCACGTCGAGTCACAGCTGGCAAAGTCACACAGTGGCTCACGTTCCATGGAGAGTTAAATAAATACTGCCTGTTATCACTCTCTTCTTGGCAGAGTTAGGCTTAGCTTCAGGAGCTGGTTGGAGGAGGAAGTGTTTCTAACATAGAGGCTTTAAACAGCAGTTGTCTCTCTTCTCCTAGAAAATTCCTTCAAGATGTGATATATGGCATTAAAGAACCAGGAAAAGAAGCTGCCTTTTGCATAAGCTCCTCATGAATGACAGGGCCTCTGCCTTTCCTGGGTCCATCCGTTTGTTTATTGTGATAGCCTGTTTTTGCTCGACTGAACGGCTCAGCTGGTGATAGCTGCAGTTGTAACCCTTTCTCAGTGTGGCTGCCACAATTCACCCGTCTTTCTGCCAGCAGGCTTTGAAATCTCCCTACTTTAGTATTTTTAAGCTGCTCTGAGTAAAGGATGCCATTTTTCGTGTGACTGGCAGTCAGGCATGATTCTAGAGACCTTTTAACCTCTGAAAGCCAGAATGTATTTTTCTTTGAGGTTCTTGTGGCCTGCTCTAGGTGGTTTGGGTTTTCCCCTTGTATATTTTAGACAAAAAAAATGAATAGAAAGGGGGTGGGGAGGAGGGGTTACTAGTTAGAACTGTCTTCTTGTGAATTTGGTTGTAATACAGACATTGTGCTTTTTTTTGGAGGGGTAAGAAGATATATATATATATATATATGTATATATATATGTATATAATCTATAGATATGTATCTGTAGATATGCATGTAATGTATATGAGAGAGAATATTTATATGTATATGTGTACATAGAGTATACATATAGAAAGCAAAGGAGGATACTTATGTGCATATATGCGTATATATGTAGGTATATATATGTGTGTGTAAAAATACATACACATACACACACACACACACACAGAGAATAGAGAATATGATATAATGGAAAGAGTCTTGGTCCTAGTCTTAGAGTGTGAGGAGCAGAGTCTTGCTTACTAGCTGTATGACTTTGGGCAAGCCATTTCACCTTAGTGAACCTCAGTTTCCTAATTTGTCAAATTAGTATGCTAATACTTTCACTGTTCACTTCCCAGAGTTATTGTGAGGAAAATTCTTTGTAAAACTTAATGTGCTTAGTAATGGGGAATTCTTATTGCCATTTTGTATTGGTAGTAGTAGCGCTAATATTAATAGTAATAATAGTCGCTAAACGTTCATTAAGTGTCTGCTATGTGCAAGGCATTGTACTAAGCTGTAGGGATACAAAGAAAGGCAAAAGACAGTTCCTGACCTTCAGGAGCTCACAGTCTAATGGAGGAGACAACATGTAAGCAACTATGTACAAAATAATCTATATGAATAGGAAATAATCGACAAGAGAGAAGGCACTTGAATTAATGGGGATTGAGAGGCTTCCTATAGATGGTGGAATTTTAGCTGGGACTTGAAGGAAGCCAGGAGGTGGAGATGAAGGGGGTAAGCATTCCATGCCTGACAGACAGCCAGTGAAAATGCCTATACAGATATGAGCTTATAGCCCCAAATGTTTATACAGTTACAAAAATAATCATTTTACCCACCTGTATAATAGTCTGTTGAACATTAAACAAAAAAGAACAATAGTAAGATAGTGACTCATCCTAAGCCCATTTCTATCAGAACTCTACTTAATATCAGATGAGAAAAATGATCATGATAATACTACTACTAATAGTAATAATACCTGATAGCATTTTGAAGTTTACAAAGAATTTTGCATACATGATCATGTTTAATCTCAATTTTCTTTGGTAGTTCCTATAGGTATTATTATATAGTATGGTGTATAGAGTATATATAGTATACTGTATATAGTAGGCCTTAAAGTCAGAGGACCTGATTTCTAATCCCTTTTTGGTGCTTAGCATCTTTGTCACCTTGGGCAAATCACTTACCGCTTTGAGCCTCAGTTTCTTCATTTATAAAAGAAAAGAGTTGTACTAAATTGCCTCTGAGATTCCTCCTGTTTCTAGATCTACAATCCTATGATTCTCATCTTATTGATGAGGGGAGTGAAGCCTAAAGAGGTGATGACAACTAATGAATGGCTCTCCTTCTCCAGTTCTATATGCATTATTCTGTTCTGCCTTCAGAAGCACCTAAATTCTCTTCCTTTCTTCAGAAAGCAATTTAGGGGTTCATCCTTGATATTCTTACAATTATTTTTCTTGAAAGTGTTACTACTAATGCACAGAATTTTACATGAGTTTATATATGTGTGTGTATATATCTATACACACAGACACATCTCTCTACATACATGAATATGCATACTTGTAACATGTGTATACACACACACACACACACACACACACACACACACACACACACTGGGTCCTAGAAATGCTAGTTTTTAGCTTAAAATTGGACTAAGACTTTTGGGCCATTGTGTGTGTATACACATAGCTAGTTATCTCTTCTTAATGATGAACATTGACTCCTCTGTGCAATACAGGTACAAGAGAAGCAGTGTGGGGTAATGGAGAAGAGGAGTAGCCTCCCACCCAGGAAGCCCTGGGCTTAAATTGTACCTTTGCCACTGATTAGCCCTGTGAGTCTGGGCAAGTCGCTTAATCTCTCAGTGCCCTAAGTAGCTTTATAAGACTACAAATTACAGGGAATTGTGTAGATCTGCATTGGTACAGGGAGTATCCTCATCTGGAAGTTCCCTTTATATATAATGCTTTAAAGTTTTTGAAGTGCTTTATAAACAGTAGTTTTTTTGTTAATATTCATTTTTAAAATTTTGAGTTCCAGCTTCTCTCCCTCCCCCACTCATTGAGAAGGCAAGCAGTATGATACTCATTATACATGTGAAATCATGCAAAGCATATTTGCATATTAGCCATGAATAAATCATATTTCATTTGATCTTCGTAATTCTGTGGAGTAGATGCTGTTATTATCCTCATTAAGATGAGGAGACTGAAGTTCAGAGGGGTTAGATTATTTTCCCAGAGTCACACAGCTAAGTTTCTGAGATAAATTTTGAACCCAAGTCTTCTTGACTTTGATATCCAATTCAGTATTGACTGCACAAAGGCTGCCTGTAGAATATGCTATTAAATATTCAGTGCATGACTACAGAATGAGTCCTTTGTTTTCAAAGAATTCATCCTCAACCTTTGCTGTCATATCCTTTAACCAATTGTGACAAATCAATGCTTCATGGCAACTTTTGTTTGACTTGGGTGTGCTGAAACTACACTGTATTCTGCTGTACCACAAACTGTTAGTGGCAAAAATGAGTCTGGTTTTCTGGTTACACTACTGTGGTGGCAAGTCTTACTACCCTCAAAATCTAGTGATGGGGGGGGGAGCAGCTCATTGGCGGTGAGAGTGGGATGCTGTGTGGTGGTCTAATGACTGTGGTCTTTGAATGGCACTAGAACTTGAGGTCTGTTCCTGAGGCTGCTTAGTGGCATTCCTTATGATAAATAGCATGTTTGTTGCTTGATGAAGTGATTCTTAAGTTGAAAAAGAATATGAAATATGTGGAAATTTCATAGGGTCTTGCTTCTTGAGGACTGACCAGTTAGATGGGGAGACAGACTGGAAGCTCCGCTTGCCTGTGGCTTGTACACAAAGATTACCCACTGCTGCTGTGAGTATTTCTTTCTCTCTTCGTTTTATTACTTCTCAATCTGTATTGTCTCCCACCTTTGACTTTCTCACCTTTATTCTCTGTTCTCTCTCTTATCCCCTTTCCTCTCTCTTACCATCTCCTTCATTATCCCCTCTTCTCCTCTTCCTTACTTCTACTCTTCCCATCCTCTACCCTTCCATCCTCTACCTCTACTTTCCTTCTATCTCTTTTCCCTTTCCTCCCCGTCCCCTTCCCTTCTCCTTAGTACTTTCTCTCTTCCTTACCCTCTCTCTTCTTCCCTCTTCTTTTTCCTTTTATCTCATTTCCTTTTCTTCTCTTTCCCTTTCCCTTTCCTTCTTTTCCCTCTCCTTTCCCTTTTCTTCTTCTTTCCTCCCTCCTTCCCCCCTTTACCTCCCCAGAATCCTATGTTGAAAGATTACAGAGTAGCTTGCAATGAGTCAGCAAGCTTCTGTACAGAAAGATAACACTGAACAGTGTGTTCTTCCAATTCAGTATCACAATCTTTTATATTATACTTTTTAGGACTTGGCAAGTCTATATAGTATCAGTACCATTATCTTTAATGCTTTCATTTGTTCAGTTAGGTTATTATTGATTCATGAAAACTTTAAGAACCAAATAGCATCATTTTTGTGACTTTTTTTTTTTTAGGCAATTGGGGTTAAGTGGCTTGCCCAGGGTCACACAGCTAGTAAGTGTCAAGTGTTTGGTCTGAAGCAGGATTTGAACTCAGGTCCTCCCAACTTCAGGGCCGGTTCTCTATCCACTGCACCACCTAGCTGTCCCGTGACTTTTTTTTTAAATAAAAAATTCTCAGGTCAACTAAAAGAACCTGTCATTTCTAGGGAAGAAACAATGATATCCATGTCTTGTAGAGCACAGGATTGCGAAAAAAATCTTTTTGGCAGGTGATAGGGCTGGGAATGAGTGGGAGGGGAGCAGAACAAGAGTATTATCTCTTGCTTTCAGCCTTTACAAAGCAATTTCATATTTATCTAGTGCATTGTAAGGAAGCAAAGTTCATTAAAAAAAAAAGAAACATCCTCCAGTTTTCCCATAAATTACCCCCATCTTCCTTAAAGAGAGAGTATCTGAGGTGTACTTTGAGATTTTAGGGACCACCTAGATGTGATGTAAAGAGCTACCTGATGATAAGAGTGTTTAAACATTTGAACAAGCTACTAAAGGAAGTGAGGGAGACCTTTTAAACAGGAGAAAACTCCACCTATCTGAATTGTTTGCATTAGGCACTGGTAACATTTCTAAGTCAACAGCACTGTCATTGTGAAAACCTAACACAGTAAAGGAGCTAGAGAGGAAAAGAAGAAAGAGTAGGAGGGCAAGGGGAAGAGATAGAGGGGGAAAACCCCTTTATTTGGTATGCACAGTGGAATGCCATAAAAATAGCTTTAGACCAAAGTTCTCTATGCTGGTTTAGATGCACAGAACCTGGCTAGGTTGGGAGATGGGGTGTGATAGCTGGCTTCAGGTGTTTGAAAGATTATCATATGGAGGAGGGGGCATGTTGGGCCTGGTCCTAGAGCATAGATGTGCCTGTGACATGTAGATTTATGTTCTGGATGAGCTTAATAAGAGCTAGAGCTTTCTAGAAATGGAATGGGCTGCCTTGGAAGATGGTGAGTTCTACCTTGCCAGAAGTCTTGAAGCAAAGCCTGCGTTGCCATTCATCATGAATATTGTAGAGGGGATTGTCCTTCAGATGCAGTCTTCCAGTTTCCCATCCAGTTCTAAGATTATGAAATTCAGTTATTCCAAGATATGCAATGCATTCAAGACGTAGCTATTAAACTTAGGCATCGTGAGGAAGCGGGCAGTGCAGTGTAGTAGATGGAGAGTTGGCCTCAGAGTTAGAAAGATCTGGATTTGAGATTTGCCTCTGACACATTTCTGGCTAATTGACCCTGGGCAAGTTACTTAACGTTCCAGCACTGTCCAGGTAACTATAAGATTAGAAGTTTCAGAATAAGTGTGAATCTGCATTCATGGAACAAATTCATTAGGAATTCCTTGTCCCAGTGAAGTCATGGATCCAGGTCCAATGTTATCCCATAAGAACAAGATATTTTTTTGGATCACTTTTAAAATTTTGTAGAAAGCAGGTCTTGTTAAGTAAGTGGCAAGATTTTAAAAAAAATCAGTTCAGATTTCCCTAACATTTTGAAATGAATACTTGTTATAAAGCAAACAAATTCTTTAATAAAATGAAGTATTCTTTGAACTATTAGCTAATGAACATAGAGTTTTTGTTGTTAAGATTTCATTCTTTGTCTATTTAAAAGGACCTTCTTCAAATTCGATCCTATGTCTATGCAGAAGAACCAAATATTGACATCCATAACTTTGTGGGGACTTTTACAAGGGTAAGTTTTTTTAAAAATACGTATGTGAAAAAACCCTCAAAAATCTTATGAATGTACTTTGATATTGATAATGGTATTGTCTTTGCGTGCATGCAAGAATGGGATGGGATATATGGAAATAGAGATAGGGATAGAGACTAGAACTCTGATTTCATTGCTATAGGGAACTTCCTTGATATAGGAACTCCTGTCCTTTCAGGCCAGCAACTTTTTTGTAATTTACAGTTTTAGATTGCTGAGAAGTTGTGACTTTTCACCTAACCAGGTCATAGTGCCTGGCATATAGTACTGAAATGCTTGTTGATTTGATTTGACAAAGCTGGTGTTACCTGTCCATGACTCATTGGAGACTTCTGGCACTTGAATAAATCGATCTACGTAGCTGTGTTAGCTACTTATTCATGAAGATTCTCATGGCGTTATAACTGAGCATCAATATTGCGTTGGCTCTTTGAATCTAAGAACTTTTTAGAACTAGAAGAGGCTTTAGAGATCATCTAATCCAACCCCTTTATTCTACAGCGGAAAAAAGGTTGGAAATGACTTATCCAAGTTCATACATACCTCTGTCAGTGGTGGAGATAGACCCTGGAACTCAGGTCCCTTGATTCTAATCCCAGGGCTCTCCCCACTAAATGGCATGTTTATGTTATGTCTGCTGTCTTTATAGAAAGGAGATAGAAGAGTCTGTACCTTTTATAAAGCTGTGATTGAAGTAGAAGGGTAGTGAAAGAACCCCAGATTTGGAAACAGATGGCCTCAGTTGAAGTCTAGGCTCTTTTCTTTACTAGTCTCTTACCATGAGCGAGTCACTTCTCTTGGCCTTGATTTCTTCTCACTTGAATGATGATCCTATCATAATGTCATTCTGTATCCTTTATGTAAGGACCCGCCCAATAAATTCCTTCTTGATTTCTTGTTCAAGGATCAATTTTGTATCTACAGATGAATTTTCTTTCTGTTGTCGAAACAAAACCTATGCTTCCTTTTTCAGTTTATCTGCCAGGAAACTTAAAAGCACGTTCATTGCTCAAGTGTTGTGATCTTCTTGTCTCAGGGGTCTAGGGGCATCCACCCCTTTTGCTGCTTTCATTTGATCTCTTTTCTCTTTTATCCTTAAATGGTTTCTGACACTGTGCTTTACTTGGGCTTCTTGTGAAGTAAATGGGGTATACCTCTTAAATTACAACAACTGGCTTTCATAATGTTTGGTGGTACTGTGGGAGAGACCACTGGATTTGGAGTCAGAGGCATCTGGATTGCAATCCTACTTCTGCTGCTGCTTACTATTTGCAATTCATTTTTCCCTTTCAGGGCCTTAGTTTCCTATAAAATGAAGGGATCTGGACAAGATGGTGTCCATGGACCTTCCTTCTCTTGGAGTCTAGACTCTTTGGTCCAACAAAGGAGGCCAAAAATGAGAGGTCAGGTAGTTTAAAAGGAGAAGCAGGAGAGAGCTGCACTATGATGCAGCCTGTTTTGTAAAATGCAAGATAGGTCACTGGAATATCATTGTATGTGTGAGACCAAACTTGAAAATTCTCAGTACCTTGTGATCATAGTTTATTTATTTTTTCTTCTGCTGCTAGTGTCAGGCATTGCTTTACAACTCATTGCCCTTTTTCCTAGATATCTGTGTTTCTGCTAATGTAAACTTCCTTCTCTCCCCTCAGACCCTCTGTACTGTACTTCTGTCTTCCACTGTCTAAAACCTGAGTAGCTGAGGATCTTGTCTCCTACATTGTCAAGAAAAGAAAGACTGGATCAGAGGAAGAAAGGAGAGGGGATGACAGTGGGAGCTTTATGGTATAGGGGAGATGGAGAAGCTAACGGCAAATGGCTTCAGAGGAAGGAGGTGCCTTTCTCATTGCCAAGGCTAACCTATTTACTTGTGCCCTACCCTCTCCCACCATGTCTAGGAGCTTACCCTTTCAATTATTGTATCTTTCATTTTCTTCTTATCTATTAGCTCCTGTGCCTACAAATGTTCCCAGTTCTCCCTCATTCTTAAAAAAAATGTTCATTTGACTCTGCCATCCTAACCTCCAGCAATCATCCTGTATTTCTTCTCCCTGTCACAGTCAGATTCTTAGGAAGAAATCAGCTACACTTGTTGCCTTCACTTCCTCAACTCCCACTCATTTGTGTCCCTTTGTAAACTGATTTTCATTCCCCCCTCCAGCTGCTACAGAAACTGCTTTCCTGAAGATTACCAGTTATAAGGGCAGCTAGGTGGCATAATGAACAGAACACTGAGTTCAGGTTTGGCCTCAGACATTTACTGGGGCAAGTCACTTAATTGCTGTTTGCCTCAGTTTCTTCAGTTCCCTGCAAACTGGGGATGATAATAGCACCTGCTTTCCATGGTTGTTGGGAGAACAAAATGAGATATTTGTAGAACACTTTGCAAACCTTGAAGTTCTGTATAAATTCTAGCAGTGATGATGTTGATTATTCTTAACTGCTAAATCAGATTCCCCTTTCAGTCTCAACTTCCTTGATCTCTCAGCTGCTTTAGATATTGTCAGCCATTCCCTCTCCCTACACTTCTCCTCTGGCTTTTGGGGCACTGCTCTCTCTGAATTTTCCTTATCCCTATCTGAATTCCCTTTTGTTGAGTCACCATCCTCTCCTTGCTGAATGTGAGTGCACCTCAAGGCTCTGTCTCCAAAATTCTTTGGTTGTCTCATCTGCTCCCGTGGATTAAGTTATCATTCTTATAAAGACAGCTCCCCTGCAAGTCATCCTTAACTCCCCAGGCCTAATCAGTTGACAGGTCTTGTTGATTATCTCTCTGCAATATCTCTTTGATCCATCACGTTCTTTAAACTCACACATCCTATTGCAGTAGCTTTCTAATTGGATTTCCTGTCTCTAGTCCCTTCTCTCTCTATTTCATCCTCCATGTAGCTGCCAGAATAATTTTCATAAGACATGGGTCTGACCATATCATTCCCCTGCTCAAAAATCTTCTGTGATTTTTTGTTGCTTTCAGGATAAATACAAATACCTCAAACCAACATATGAAGCCCCTTACAATCTGGCTGCAAGCTATTTGTCCAGACTTATTTTGTATTTCTTGTACTTTACATTCTAGCCACACAAATTTACTAGCTGTTCCCCAGACTCTATGTTGTATCTCTCATCTCTAAGTTAAGGCTGTATCAGATACTTGGAATGGAAGCACTTCTACCTCTCTTTTAGAATCTCTAGCTTTCTTCAAGAAAATATCCTACATAACTCCTCAGGGGCCAACTCCTAAACAAAACTGTTTGGCCCAGTCCTTTTCTTTCCCTCCTCAAATTACCTTATACTTTCTTATCTGCATCCTTGTTCAGCCCTACCCCCTGCTCCCAGTAGCATATAAGCACCTCGAAGACAGAGATTTGGGTTTTTTTTGTATCCCTAGCACCTAAAACCATGTCCAGCATCTAACCAGAAAGTGATTAAATAAATGTTAGTTGAATTTAATTTTGTGATACCTGCAAAGAGAAGAGAAGAATGATGACAAGTTTAAAGTTTTCTCTCATGATTTCAATGTACCTTCTTTCATAGCTCTAGATATAGTATGGGGCAGGGGTGAGGGGAACCTAGGAATTTTGTGAGGTTGACAAATAAATGTGTCTCCATCTTGATCTTTATCAGGAAGACAGTGACCCTTCCATCAATGAGAGCTTAAGTATAGAGAATACACTTTGGGCTGGCACAGTCATAGCGTCAGGTAAGTATGTGATTCCTGAGGAATATGTTAGCAATTTTAAAAAGAAAAAAAATCATTTCATAATTAGAATAATCATCCTCTGTCAAGTTGGGGAAATTAGTGGTAGAATGAAGTTTTTCACTTGTCCTAACACCTCAGGGGAGTTGAGTTGACATCTAATTGCCTCTCAGACATTTATAAAAGTGCAGGAATGGGAATTCCAATAGCCTGTGGGCCCTTCTGGATCATCCACTCTGAGAATAGGCCTTAATTGCTCCCTCTAGATTGACATCCTAATCTGTAACAGAAATTGTGTCAGATTGCATGTCATGATGGAAGCTTGTGTGAGAGACAGCAAAGCAAGGGCAGCACTTAAGGAGGGAGCCAGTCAATATGGAAGCATGTTATAATTCAGTTTGAAATGTGGTGTTTTATCTATGGAGGTGGGAGTAAAACCAAAGCTATTTGATTTTGAATGCTTATGATGAAATGCTCCCTAGGCATCCCCAAACAGAAGGTTCCCAAGGATTCACTACTGGCAACCATCAAATTTTCTGAAGATTGTGCCTTTGGAACCATGGGATTTTCCTTTGCCCTCTCCCTGGTAGCAGTTCTTGAGCACACTCCCAGCCCAGCTAGCCAGTTAGAGTGCAAGAGCTACTTTGCTAAAAAGTATGAGGGAATCACTGTATATATTAATAATTGGTAGGAGTGAAATATAGATGTTTACATAGGCTTATGGGTTAATTCAGCTTTATATGGTCTGACACAAGAAGCTAATGACTTGGCCAGGGTCTCAGTGTGCAGTGTCCCATAGTTGCTGCAGTTAGAATTAGATTTCAGGCCTTTTGGCTCCTAAACCTATGTGTCTTTTTCGGTTTATGTCTGCTTCTTCATCAACACTGTGTATGATATAGATGAAATCATTGACTCAGTATGGGCATGTTGTCTTCTCATTCCTTCCCTTCCTGCCTTTTTTTCTTCCCTTTCTGGATGTCTGTTGTTATTCAATGACAGTAATTATCCCTTCCTCAGTGAGCCTTCAAAGAAAATGAGTTAAATCAAAACCAACGTGATGAAAAGTGTACTAGATTTAGAGTCTAAGGATGTGCAAGCAAATGTTGGTTCTGAGATTTACTACCTGTGGGATCTTGGGCAAGTGACTCAACCTGTCTGTGCTTCATTTTCCTCATCTACACAAGGAAGGGGTTTGTACTAGATGACCTCCAAGGTCTTTCTAGCTACAAGTCTGTGGTCCCTGGAGGCATATTGGTCTTTATGGCTAAATAGTATTCATTTTGGACCACAAGTGGCATTGCTAGTCATGAACCTGATCTTCACCAAAAAGTGCCATGCCTTGGGGGAAGTCCCATGCTCACCTTGGCAGCTCTACATTCCACCACTTTTAGGGGGAGGACCAGGAAACTGCCAAGCTCTATGTAGTGCTCAGAGAATAAAGTTACTTAATTTAAATAGTTCTGAACCCCTACTGGGTAAAAATGTTCCTCTTCCCTGAATCTATTATATTTCATTGAGCCCTTTCATGTGACTTTGGCATAAAAGAAGCCAGCTTCCCATGGAAACAGATATATTTAGATATCATATGCAGTGTTTTGCTTTTTTGGTTGTTTTATATAATCATTAAAAACAAATAGGTAATGCATAATGGATTATCTATGATGTGCTGCATGCCGCTAGCTTCTCTTAGACCCATGCTACCTTCTAACTGTATTTAAATATTCTCTCAAGAATTTCAGAAAAGATAACGATTCACTGTTTCCTCACCCCTTCTAGCTCCCTCTGCCCTCGCCCCAGTGTTCTTGCTATAGGTAGGAAAGGGAGTGTAGGAAAAAGAACCTAATTTTCTTCTGGTGTTTTTTTAAATTGCACTAAGTTGCTTTTTAAATTCTCTTCTCACTCCTTTTTTTGCCATTTTAAATTCTTCCTTAAATTCGAATTGTCAATTATACATCTTATCTTGGGATTTCTTATGTTATTTCTATTTCTGTAAATATTCTCAAGTACCTTTTGCTGCTCTTATTTTATAGGCATTTATTTATCTATCTATTCATTCATTTGTTTATCTATTTGTTTATCTATCTATTTATTTATTTATTTATTCACTTACTCACTTATTGATTGATTGATTGGCAATTGGGGTTAAGTGACTTGCCCAGGGTCACACAGCTAGTAAGTGTCAAGTGTTTGGTCTGAGGTCGGATTTGTACTCAGGTCTTCCTGATTTCAGGGCCGGTGCCGTATCCACTGCGCCACTTAGCTGCCCCTTATTTCATAATCTTTTAAACAACATCAGAGCCTACCTTCCACTTATTATGTATTTGAACTTACAATTTCTTGTGTTATTTCTATTTTAGTATTTTTTCTAGTGTTTTTTGCTTTGCTAGTATTATTTTGTAATCTTTCTTTATATTCATATGTTATATATTAGAGACTGTCTTTTGTTTGCTCATTATCTTTTTTGATGGGTTTTAATTTTTTGATATTTTAAAAAAAATTTGTGTAAGTTTTAAAAAATATTTGATGGAAGCATGTGTATTGTTTTTTGAAGAAAGTGATGAAAAACTTGGCTTGGTTATAACCTGCTCCATCTTCTTCCAAGAAGTCTCTTTATGACATTGGTTTTCTGTGATGGAGACCTATAAAACTTTATGTTGTCATAAGTCTCCTTTTACTTTTTATCTAGATTAATAATTTACTTTGATGCTTGGATGGATCTGTGATTTCATAGATGTTGGTACTCCTGGCAACAGCATAGGCCCTCAAGCCATCCATACTTGTGTGACTCTCATCCATGTGTATTCATTTGCCCTTTTCTTAACTCTGAAAAACTTTTCTGATTATCTGTCTCGGAGATACAGGGAACCCCAGTACATAAAACATTAAAATAAGTTTTGTGTGGCTTTAAATGATCAACTCTAGAGAGATGTAGGGATTTGCATTCAAAGGCTATCCTATCTGTTCTCAAAACAACTCCCTTTGCATTCCAGATCCATGAGACCTGACTTCCTTTTCTTTTCCATATTAAATTTTTAAATATTTAAGGTAATTGCCTTAAAGGAATGGTTGACAATAATCTTTCTGCTTTCTAAGACAGTCAGCTGAGGGAATAATTCTCAGTGGCATCTCTTCTTTTCTAAGTTAAACATTAAAAAAATAGGGTCTAATGATATCACTCCCACCTATACATCATATACACGTTTGTATGCATTTAATTTTTGTTTAAGTTTTTTTTCTTTTGCTGAGCAATCCAAGAATGGAGAATATGCCCTCTTCCTCCCTCCTCCTCCAAGCAAAAAAGCTAAAATGTATTCCTGTATCTGCTTGATGTGTCATCTTAATGTGATTTCTGGGTTCAAATCCTTTCTCTGTCACTACCTGTGTAACTTTGCACAAGACCCTTAACTTCTGTAGGCCTTAATTTCCCCATCTGTAAAATGAGAGGGTTACTATCTAAGATTCCATTAAGCTCTACACCTATGATTTTTTTTAAAGAAACTTTATTTTAATGCAGCTTTTATTTGTTTTTAGTTTTAAATCCTCTCCTCCCATCCGCCTGCCCTTTGAGAAAGCAAGAAAAACTTGTTACAAATATGTATAGCCAAGAAAAAAAAATTCACATTCCCTCTAAAAAAATGTTTCAGTCTATATTCTGAGTCCATCAGCACTCTATCTAGAGACGGATAGCATGTTTCACCATGAATCTGCTGAAATTGTAGTTGGTCATTGTGTTTATCAGAGTTCCTAAGTCTTTCAGAGTTGTTTGTTTTTACAGTATTAGTGTTATTGTATAAATAATTCTTTTGGTTATATTTACCTCACTCTGCATCAGTTCATACAAGTCTTCCCAGGTTTTTCTGAAACTATCCCTTTTATCTTTTCTTTTTTAAAAAAAATTTTATTTGCTTTAAAGCACAGAGACTTCTAATTCTTTTTTTTTCTGTTCCAAATTCTCTCCCTACCCATTTCTTCACCCAGTGAGAAGGCAAGAAAAGCAGAACTCATTACAAGTATGTATAGTCATGCACAACAAATTTCTGCATTAGCTATGTTTCTTTTTTAAAAAAATTATTTTTCACCAATTACATATAAAAAGTTTTAACTTTTTTTTCAAATTTTGAATTTCAAATTATCTCCCTTCCCCAGTTCCTCCCCTTCATTGAGAAGGCAGGGAATTTGACATAGGTTATACATGTGTAGCCATGTAAAACATACTTCCATGTAAGTCATTCTGTGAAAGAAAACATAGATAAAATCCCAATAAAAATGAAGAAAAAGTGTGCTTTTAATCTGCATTTAGACTCCATCAGTTCTTTTTCTGGAAATGGATAGCATTTTCCATCCTAAGTCCTTAAGAATTGTTTTGGATCATTGTATTGCTGAGAATAGCTAAATTATTTACAGATGATCATCATACAATATTACTCTCACTGTATATAATGTTCTCCTGGTTCTATTAATTTCATTTTGCATCATTTCATGTAAGTCTTTCCAGATTTTTCTGAGAGCATCCTGCTTGTCATTTCTTATAGCACAATCGTATTCCATCACAATCATATACAACAAGTTTTTCAGCTATTCCCCAGTTGATATGCATCCCCTCAATTTCTAGTTCTTTGTCACCACTAAAAGAGCTGATTAGCTGTGTTTCAAAAGAAAAGGAAAACAAGAAAAAACATGCTTCAGTCTGCACTTTGAGTCCATCAGTTCTGTATCTGGTGGTTGATAACGTGTTTCATTGTAAGTCCTATGGAATTGTGGTGGGTCATTGTATTGATTAGAGTTTCTGAGTCTTTCAAAGTTGATTTCTTTACAAAGATATTTAATATCTTTGCTGTTAATTGCTGTAAATTGTTCCCTTGGTTCTGCTCACTTCCCTCTGTATCAGTTCATACATGTCTCTCGAGTTTTTTTGAAACCATTCTCATCATCATTTCTTATAGCATAATAGGATTTAATCATGTTTATACCATAATTTGTAGAATCATTCACCAATTAATGGG